CCGGGACTGGCTCCCCCCAGCCCGCCCTCGCCACTCGCACGGGCTGCACAATGCCTGCCCATGCGGGCAGCTCTGCCCTCTGGCCGCAGGCAGGGGCACCCTGGCAGAGGCAGAACTGGTAGCGCTGGGAGCCCAAGGGGCAGAGCTGCCTGGTCACAGGCATGTCCAGCCCCAGCAAGGTGCCCAAGTGGCTGTGTCCTCCTGCAAGGAGGACCAAGCAAAGAGCAGCAGCCAGGAGAGGGGCAAGGTCCCACACAGAGCCCGGTCTGGGGATGCCCACGGAGCCTATAGCCCTGTGCAGGGCAAGGGCACCCAAGGGGACGGCGGGACTCCTGGGCGACAGGGCTTCCCCCACCCACTGCCCGCAATCACAGACACCTCCTGGTGCGATGCACTTACGGCCGTATTCAGTCATCTCAAAGTCCTGAGCCACAGGGTTAGGTGGAAATCACCGCCTGCTTGCAGAAAGAGGGGGAAACCATCTCCTGTGCCTGCAGGTAGAAGGTAGCAAATGGGGATAACCATCAAAAGCTTGGAAACTGGACAGCCAGGGGCAAAATCCCTCCCCCCCAGACACCTCCTCTGTGCGCCTTTGCCAGAAAGAGCCTCTGACTGTGCCGTGCCCCGACACAAGCAGCCAGGGCAGGAGCTGAGCCCCCGAGGAGCCCTCCCCTCTGGGTGCGAGCATCTCTGCACCCAGACCCAGGATGATGCCTGGGACACGTGGGGACGCTGGCCGGGGAAGGGCGGGATGCAGAGGGGGTGATGTGCATTGCAGACCCCGAGGCCCCGGCAGCAGCCAGCTCGGGCAGAGAGGCTGGGACTGCTCCTCGCCGGGCAGCAGAGAGGAAAAGGACAGGCTGCATGCCCAGGGAGGCTGCGCAGAGCCCCGGGCCAGCCCTGCCTGGCCTCTGCCTGACCTCAGACAGAGCCGGGGTGCCCAGAAGGCTGCGTCACACCAGGGCTCTGCACGCAAGAGGCCAGGGAAGGGTGACAGGCTGGAAACGCAGCCGCACTCCAGGAAGCAAAGCCCTGAAGGCGCATGGAGCTATGACATAACAGCTGCAAACCTCAACTGCTTCCTCAAAGCCTTCGCTTAACCTCAAAGGAGGAAAAGCTGCTTCATCCTGTGCCACCTCCCACCCTGCAGATGCTCCTGGACTGCTCTCCCCTCCCTGGCGGGGGGGCAGGCCATGGGATGTGTGGGGCTGGCACTGGGATGCTCCGAGAAGGCTGCCCACACCTGAAGGAGGTCTCCGTGGCAGGCACAGGGCTGCAGCTGTACAGGTGGTGCTGGATGCATGGGACTGAGCTTGCTCCTGAGCCTCTGCCGGATCCCTGCTGGCCCAGCAGCACCCATCTCTTCAGCTGCTTTTGCTTTTAAGTCACCCTCTGTTCCCTGAGAAGGGACAGGAGTACCCAGACCGGACAGGAGAACTCACTCCACCATGCTACCTCTCATGCTGCATCAGGTGCCCACACAGCCGCATGCCTGTGCTGCCCCAGCCAGGACCCATCATGGCATGCCCGGGACCCAAGCTCTCTGCTCGGGTCCCCGCTCTGTGTGCCCACCCCCTCAAGCCAGTCTGCAAGCTGAAAGCTCCCGCAGTAGCACTGGGCACCCTCCTCCTGTGCAGAGTGCGTGGCTGGGCCTGCCGG